TTCATCTATGTCGTCGGTGCAAGTGGGCAGGGTCATGGCGTACTGACGAATAGTGGTGTAAAAAGCTTGCTTCAGATCGTAACACAAAAGCCCCGCTGATCTCTTAAGGTGCGCAGCTGCTGCTTGGAACATGCGGAGCGTGTGCAAAGCCATGTCAGCCCCCCTACCCGGCAACCCCCCCGTTTGCTCTTGCTGGAGCGCCGCGCTGCTTGTGGAAACGATGGTGGCACTTGCAGATCGTGTTACCGAGAAGGATGTTCCGCTGCGATTCTTTGACGCGCGGATCGCCTTTGCTTTTGAAGAAGAAGGCGACCCGCGCATCCTTGTAGCCTATAGGCTCCTTGGTGGCAAAGGAGACCTCAGCTAAGAGGGGGGTCGCTAGGCGCGCGAAGGCTCGATTGGGCAGCCCTACACAGATCTCCAACCATGCCGTCGGGGCCGTGCATCTTCCTTGGAGGCATCCTAGCGATGATGGGTTCGAGGTCGAATTTCGTAGGAATGACTGCGAGGTCCCTCGGGGTCTCTGGGGCCAGAACTGGGCCCTCGTTGTTGTGAGCATCTACCACCTGCACGACGTCGAGCATGGGAGCGTTCTCGACCTCCGCAAAGTACGACTGCATGTGTTGATCAACCTGCTCCTGCGTGCCTAATGGTTCCCTATCATCACCTACGTACTGCGGGAAAGCCATTTGCTTGGGGTTGGGCTTGCCGCCGAACCTCAAGAGGAGATGCAGGGCCTGCCATTTAGATGCGTGCATTCGGGCATCAGCACAAACGACAATATGTTTGGCTTGCTCTTCGAGAAAGGCGGTGCGCTCTTGCTCCAGGCACTGTAGCAATACCATCTCAGAATGCGTCAGAAAGTCCAGCAGTACAACAGGGAACGAGAACAAGCCTGCAAAGGTGTGGTGAACGGATTTGGCACGTTGGTTCATTCTGGCAGCCAGGCCCGCCCACGGTGCCTCCGCATATTCCTGCTGCAACTGGGCGAGATCACCGATCAACACTCGGCTGGCAAAGGCTCGCAAAACCTGGGCGGCATCAGGCGTGACTTCAAAACGGGTCTTGCGTAAGACTCTCTGGACGCCACGTCTCCAGGTGACCAGTGCATGGGTCTGCTTCGACAGGAAGGGCTTTCGCGGTCGCCTCGCATCGACTCCAAAAGCTTTTTGAGCCGCGTCCAGCAATTGGCGATTGAGGTGGTCATAGTGGTCGTTTATGTTGGTGCCCCATGGGTCGGGCTCCAAGCGGTCCAGCTCCTGGGCGAAGGCTCGCTTGGCGCCATCGTCCGAGAGCTTTTCTGCCTGTCAAGCTTCCTATTGGGGGTCTTGAGCCTTTTACGGGTCTCTAACCAGGCAAGCTCAGCAAATACCGGAATATGATCATCCACCGGCATGAGGGGGTCGAAGCTCCGATCTACCCATGTGCGTACCGCTCGGCCAAACAGCGCCTGCGGTGCCATAACGTAGTCGATGCGATGTGCGGCCCCTTTCTTCTGAGCGCTTTCCTGAGGGGGCCTCCATGTCCAGGCGTCAGCTGCGTGTGGCAACAGTGTGTTTACGACGTAACGCTCATGCGAAATGGCATGCCCATGCAAGGTCTCTCCTACGCTATCTTGCTGCTGGCAAAAACCCTCCCCGCCCACATAGCGCGACTGCGCTGACCCTAACCTGCCATTAGCGTCGATGAACAGCAAATCGCACGATAAGTTCTGGGTGTCAGCATCCAACTGCGTCCAGATCCCCTGCTGCTCTTGCAGGGGGCGCCGGCCATGGGGAGCGTGCGCGACCATTACTACCAAATTTATGGCTGGCGCCGCTACCCGACATATCAGCAATCGGTCTCTCATGGCCAGGACCTTGACATTGCGAGGTGCGAGGGAGAGCTTCTGCCCCTGACAGCGAGCGTATGGGACGGATGTGTTCACCCACATCTCAAGTCCGGGTTGACCTGCAATCGAGCACGTGGAGACAACGAAGAATTGTCCTGAGGTTTGGCCGCCTTTGGAGTCCAGGCCTCCTGGATCCCAGCGATCAGCACCCCCGTTTTGGCAAACTGCTCTCGTACAGCTCTGGTGCGCATGACCCGCTTCTTGGTTAGCCGTCCCGTGCCCGGGGTTACACTCATGCTTTTAGCATTATACTGCACAACCTTAAAGGACACCCCCATCTCAGCTGCATCGCTGACGTGGTCAGGGGGGAGGTGGGATGGCAACGCGTGTGTCGGGGGCGCGGCAGCCACGAGCAGCTGCTGCTGTCTGCTTGGGTATGCCTGCTGGATGGCGTTTGGCGCTCGCCGTAGCCATTCCCACTCAAGTTCTTTGCAATATGACGTGCACCATACTACATCTTCCGGAAATCGGCACGCGTCAAGTTGCTTGCGAAGCGTGCTGCGCGCTGCCCAGTCGCACAGGTCATTCCAGGGGATCGAGTCGTGGCCGTGAACATGCTGGATAGAGAGATCTTTGTTCTGGCGTGCGAGATCCCAGAAAACGTGCACCAACCTTGCAAGAAGGTCCTGAGGGTCTGGGTACGAGACACCGCAAAGATGCCCTACAACAGCCATGGAATCAGAATGGATGACAGCTGGCGCGCCATCAGCTGTGCACAAGAGATAGATGAGAGCCCATAGCACCCCCACGTACTCTGCCGTAGTGCTGCTGTACCGGGACAGATTCGGCGGCAGAGTAAGGCAATTTGGGAAAGAAACGAGTTCCAATAACCCTTGAAACATAACCCCTCAGCATCCTCTCCCAAAACACAAAGCGCCCAGCTTGCAATCTCCGGGTGCCCCTCCTTGTGGGATCCATCGGTAAATATGTGTACTCGCTTGCGTCCGTCGCGACGGACTGGTACTGATGTCAATGCAACTCGCGTGCTGTCAGGGACGGCAAGCCTCCCTGACGGGTACAGGTCGTCATCGAGCGTCGTCGCTCGACCTGCCTGGGCTCCACCCGCATCCCCAAAGTCAGCAAGCAACTTAAGAGGAGGCATGCTGGTCGCGGCTCCTTGCGAAACGTGCACGGGGTGCGCAAGCATGACAGCAAGGACGTCAGGAGAGGGAGCGAGAGGACAGAAGATGGAAGGCACCTCCTCACTGCCGAGGGGATGCCCTCCCGTGTGGGCATCGTGGGCCTCAATCTGCACCATCCCAGCGGATGAACTGGTGCACCCGAACTGCACGGGTGGCCCGGTACACCCAAATGGACCGCCGCCCTGCGCCCCGAGGTCTGACTGGCCAGTGCTATCCCTCAAACCCAAGGCATCGTTGGCAACAGCCGCCGCGGCGGAGGCAGAAACAGAGGAGGCGAGGGGGGTAGGCTGTAATGAATTGCAAAATGTGTCGGGACTGCAGATAGCTTGCTGCCAGCTGTCGCCAGTCCTCGTGCACGTTGGAGCCGTCTCGCCACGGCTCGAAAAAGCTGTTGAAAAGGAGGAGCGAAAGCTGGCTCCCTGGTGGCACTCGTGCTGTTGCGCCCGGGAGCCTGCATTGCAGGCGCGCGCGCGAGATTCAGGCGCTACGTCTCCCAGCACCTGCGAATTTTCAGCAGGACTGGGACCGGGGATAGCTTGCTGCCAGCCATCTTCGGTCCTCGTGCATTATGGGGCCGATTCCAAAAGGCTCGCAGCGGGAGGTGAAAAAGAATGGACATCCTGGTATTCACTGTTGAATACCTGGGCCCTTAATGCATGGACACGCGTATGAGACTCAGAGGCTGCTGACCCCAGCACCAAGTCATCGGTCCGATCAGGAAGGGGGGGTGGCCGCGCAGGCCCGCACTTTAAAATCGACTTGGGCTCACTCCCCGAGCTCTCGTCGTTGGTGCTAGAGCGCGCGACGGCACGTCCAGAATGGCAGATGTGAGACTGGCCCCACCTCACACTTCGCCCGTCACCTGCCCCTGAACGAGTTTGGAGTCCTTGCGCGGTGGGCTCCCCATGCCGCTCGACGGATAGGAGGGATCCGCGGCCGCACAGAGCCGCTCGGGCAGGGCCTCGTCCGAGGGGGGATCCTGCGACGCGATCGTGACAGGGCCCGGCAGCCTTGGGTCTTCCTGAGTGCAGCACGTCTCCGTCGGCGGCACTGGCGAGCTGGGGACCGGCACAGCCTGGGTGAGGCTCGCGGCCTGGGTCGGTGGCGGCGGCGGCTGCTGCGGCGGCCACGCCGTCTGAGGCGAGTGCCCCGGCGTCGAAAACCCTCCCGGAGTCATGTGAGGCCCCAGGGGCGTGGGAGGCGACGCCTGGGCAGCTGGGATCTGGCTGGTGGGAGTCCCCGGCGCCGCTGCGGTTACAGGCGTCGGGGGCGCCGCGGGCGGGGCTTCGTCCTCGGTGATCGGGCTCTGCGCGGCATCCAAGGGCATAGCCCCATTCGCAGGTGCCGGAGGCGCCGCTGCCATGGGAGCTGCCCCTGAGGGCGCCCCCGGAGCCGCCACCTGTGCCGCCGTGCCAGGCGCCGCCATGAAGAACCGCGGGGGCGGCTGCTGCGGCGTCGCTGCCACTCCCGCTGGGGTAAACCCCGTCATCGGCTGAGGCGGGGGGGGCACGCAGGTGTGTCCCTTGCCGTCGCCCTTGGCCCGTGCTATGGCCTCTGCCTGCATCTGCATCGCCTGCTGCTGTATCGTCTGCTGCTGCATCGCCTGCTGCTGTAGCGCCTGCTGCTGCATCGCCTCCGTCGTCATGGTAGGCTGCGGCATCATAGGGGGCATCGCCTGCGGCTGCATCACAGGCCGGGGCAGCATCGCAGGCTGCTGCATCAACTGCGGCTGCACCGGTTGCTGCATCATGAATTTGGCCATCTGCTGCAGACAGGTGTCCGTCTGGCGCTGGTGGCCTGGAGGCTCTGCACCATGCTGATCAATACGCCAACTTGATCGGGACTCCTCCTCCTCCTCCTCCTCCTCCTACTCCTACTCCTACTCCTACTCCTACTCCTACTCCTACTCCTACTCCTACTCCTCCTACTCCTCCTCCTCCCCCCTGTTCTTTTCGTGCCTCCGAGAGGTGCCGGTCTTGCGCGAGTGCTTCGGGAGCGACCAGCCGCGTGCCGGCGCGGACACGTCGTGTGCCCCCAGCCCCGAGGCCACCGCTGGGGCTTGCCGCGTCGCGCGCGACCCGCGGGCCCTCGCGCCGCTTTGCGGGCTCAGCGCTGGCGAGGGCGAGGGGGGCGGGAAGGGGGAGCTGTGGTCATCGCCCCCCTTGCGGCCACGGCTTCGGCACTGCTCTCGACTCAGAGGCGTAAGGAGCACAGGTCTTTGGGTGTGGCGGGTCGGAGAGGCCCCAAAGTTCTTGCGCAAGTAATTATCATTTCCGATTGGGGCGATGGAGGGCATGAGGGCCACAGTTTGTCGCAACGGTCGGGGGCTGGCAGTTGGTCCAAGGCTGTCCTAACGCTGTCGATGCCCACCCCGCCAGAAAATTGGGCCGGAAGCCTACGGAGCGTCCCACCTCTTGTGTACGCACATTTGCCGAATTTGGCATACTTTTTCCTCCAGATTCCCCCGTCGTCTGGATCCGATGGAACATTTCGGAGAGCCCTGGACGCGCAACGCCCGCCTGACGCCTGACCGTGGATGTCGAACGCGATTCCCACGGCAATGATACTGCTTTTAATTCGTTGAACCCGTTACGTCCGTTACGAGGTGATCTTCCATTCCATTTACCGATAACGAACGTACGGCGGGGGGGGCCTACAAGTGTGGTGCCGTGGTCATCGTCGCCGTCGCCGCCGCCGTCGCCGTCGCCGTCCTCGTCGTCGTCGTCGTCCTCCTCCTCCTCCTCCTCGTCATCGTCGTTTCCAAGGGGCTCGAAGGGCCTCTAGATGCCTCCAGAGGCCTCCAGGGATTTCCTGCCGCGGCAACCTCTGGAGACCTTCGGAGGCGGCCTAGGGCCTTCGCCGTCGTCGCCGTCGCCGCCGTCGTCGTCGTCATCGGCGTCGTCTCTTCCTTCTCGTCCTCTTCGTCGTTATCGTCGTTGTCCTCGCCGGCATCGTCGTCGTCCTCTCCGAGGGCCTCGTAGGTCGTCCAGACGCCTCCAGGGGCTTTTGGAGACCTCCAGCTGGAGACCTTCAGAGGCAGCCGTCGTCATCTTCGTCGGCGTTGGCGTCCGGCGTCCGGCGTCCAGCCCCCCCGCGGGGCCGACCACGTTACCGGTACTCCAGCCCCCACGTGGGCCCGACTTCCCCCCCAGAACGGACGTCATGGGCGATGAGTAAAAACATATATATATATATATATAGTTGCTTTGGGATGGCTCAATGGTGTACGCCGTGTACGCCCGTTACGAGCGCTCTACGGTAATTGCCGGATGCCGTGTTGAAATCGTAGATGTGATGGGTATTCGTTGCATGCGTCCGAGGAGAAGTAGACCCAGATGCCATTCCAGTTGTGAACCTCCAGAACTGTGTTGACCCTCGCTGAGATACACCTCAGCATCCGAAGATCTCCAATGCCATCAGTTAGCGTTACCCAATCACGATCGGCCTCATAGTTGTTCCAGCACGTGTCGAATCGATGGAGGCGGTCCTCGCAGGGCGCTCCACTGCCAGGGCTGACAGCGTCATCCGTGACCGCATTCGAAGCCCTCGGGGTGCTAGCTAGCCCTCGGCTGCAGGCACTCGGGCACGTCCTTCTGTAAAGTGTAGTTAAAAACAGCTGCCTGCCAGTGTCCTGTCCACTCTGCCCACGTTTCACCGCTGCTGGCAATTCACCTGTCGGGCTCATCGATATCCCAGATGAGCTCTTTCATGTCCACGATGATCACCCGTGAGGCCCTTGATCAGTTGCCACCTGATCTTCGGAAATTCCATAGCCAAGCGAAGATACATTGCTTGCCATTCAACTCGGAACCGTACGTGGTATTGTGTTGTTGGTTTCAGAAGGTGAACCGTTCTTAGACTTGTCGGCGCAAGTCAACTGGCAAGTTAGCCTTGGTGGCCACAGGTTTGCAGCATGATGGTGGACTTACAGCGCTCTCATCACATGAGTCCCGCCAATGTGGCAGCCGAGGCTCGCTCTAGTTGTGTTTGCGTCGCTGCCGCGTTCTAGATCCTCAAGTCACGAATGTCAGCACACACGCACACACACACACGCGCACGCACAGGCACCCACGCACACACACACACACACACACACGCACACGCACACGCACACGCACCCGCACACACACAGACGCACAGGCACCCACGCACACATACACACACACGCACGCACACACACGCACACACTCACACACGCACACGCACACGCACACACACACACACACGCACACGCACACGCACACGCAGACACACACACACACACACAAACGTACGCACACACACGCACACACACACACGCACACGCACACGCACACACACAGACACACACACACACACACACACACGCGCACACACGCACACAAGCACACACGCACACACGCGCACACCCACCCACGCACACACGCACGCACGCACGCACGCACGCACACACACACACACGTACACACACGTACACACACACACGCACACACACACACACACACGCACACACAAACGCATTCGCACACACCTAAGCGCATGCACACACATGCACGTGCACTTCGTGCCAGTTGTTCGTCGTAGTCCCTGCTTCTTAGGTGTAGTTACGCATTTGTCCTCTCAGGGGTATTTACCATTCCCGGGCCAAGGACTCAGCCCTCTTGCAGATGGGCTTCGAGGAGGGAGCACCCGCGTCCTCTTTTCCACTCCTGTGGCAAGCCAAAATGCTGCAGCATCAACACGCGTGCGCACAACTGAGATAGTCATTACACGGCCTCCCCGGGCCCTGAGATTAGCACGGACTAAAAACAAAAATCGTGCGTCATTGAGGCTGCACGATGGCAACAAAGCCCTCACGCTCATGTCGACCGAGGCGGCACCCGGCTCCTCGAGCCCGGAGGAGTCGAGGAGGGAGCGGCAGCGGCCGGCGGCGGCTGCTCGGCCTCCCCGTCCTCCGTGCCCTCGTCGACCGTAGCGAGAAGGAAGTCACGGGACGCCTTGAACTCGCGGATCATCATCTTGATGAACTTCAGGCGCTGGTCTTCGTAGTCCGCCAGCTCCTGGTTCCCCCACTCGCACAGGTGAGTCCGACTGGCCCGGCACGCCCTCGTACGAGTGCTGCGCCGGCACGCGTAGGTTCTCCATGACGGCCTCCATGCCCTCGAGCACCTCCGGGTCCTTGCCGTCCAGCACCGCGAGGTAGGCGCTGTCCAGGTTCTGCATGTACAGCAGCGCCACGTCCTCGATGATGGTCGCCGTCCTGATTGCAATGTTTCCCGTCCCCTTGCTCCACGTCAACGTCACACGATTGCGATGCTGGCGGCTGTCTGGATCCCCCAGGATCTGCATGTTGGTCACGACCTTGCACGTCGTCCCCGAGTGGCGGACTGGCTCCGCCTGGATGCTCTCGAACAGGCTCCGGACTCCGTCCTCCGTCAGGCAGCTCTCGAATTTGACCATGGCCGGGCGTCGGTGGCGTCGGCTGGCGACCGGGCCGCTCCTTCTTGCTACTAGCCGAAAGAAGCTGACGACGGACGCGCTCTTGGGCTGCTGCTGCCATGACTGCTGGCTCGTCGGCTAGCTGATATTTCCCGCTCGTCATCGTGGCTCTCAACATGTCGGCTGGCTCGGCTTTGTCTTTAGTCAGTATGTCTGCTAGCTGAAGGGCTGAGGGCACCCACCGATAGCTCACACCTAGACGTTTCACGCTCTCCTTAGTGATGACTAGATCGACCGCCACCCGCTTATCCGAGCATGACCCCTCACTCCCACAGCCGACGATGTGATCGTACAACGACTTACAGTCCGTGACCGCAATGGGAGCCAACTTCGGAAGAAGCTCGGATCGACGACGCAGACAGAACTCCCCATCGCTGCCCTCGAGGAGCAGGCGCGAGATCCACTCGAGGTGACCTAGGCCGTCCATCTGGGCCTGAGTCTCCGCGGCGAGAGTCGACGATGTTACTCGACGAAGGCGATAGCTTTTCCAGACCAGCGGGCTCCAGGGGCTCAGCTCGTTTCGGATCATGTTCTCGTCGGTCGCGGCGATGACGCAACCTGCCTGGGCCCCGGATGTCGATGTGTTCTGGTTCGAGGCGTCGGCGTGCATGATGACCCGGGGACGTTCGATCGGAATCGGTTTGATCTTCCAGGACAGGTTCGAAAACTGTTTTGCCCTCCTCACGATCGTGTTCCCGTGTCTCACCTCCCCCACCGTTGGCCTGGGCATGCGCTGCTGGCTCATCGAAACCTGGACTGCTAGATCTGGCCTAGATTCTCGAGCTAACCAGTTGCCGCTACCGAGCATCGCGCGGAAGTTCGCGATTTCCTTCTCGGTCGCCGGGGTCTCCGGGGGCGATCGGGGTCTCACACCGGCGGGCTTCATCGACTCGGCGAACTCCTTCTGAGACACGGTTATCTCCATAGTCACGGGAGTCTGGACAAGATAGGACCCACAGAACTTCCCCTCGTTGACCTTCCACTTGGGGAAAGGGAACCTCGCGCGCAGAAACCTGATGAAGGTGTTGTACTTTTTCCCTTTACCTCCAGTCAATATGTCATCGACGTGCGTCGATATCAGTCCCTGCAGGCGCCGGCCCTCGAACAGGAAAAACAGGCACGGGTCGAGCTTGGACCGACGCCAGCCCTCGCACCCGTCGCTCGGCTTCCAGTCCAGGACGGCGTCCCTGAATTTGCCCCACCACTGAGCCAGGGCGTCGTTGAAGCCGTAAATCGGCCTGATGACCTTCAGCAGCTGGTCGGGGTGCAGGCCGGGAAGGCCTCCGCGCGGCTGCTTGAGGTACAGGTCCCCGTTCTTGCGCTTGATGGGGTCCGCCTCGAGGAAGGCCCCCTCGACGTCCCCGATCTGAACCTGGAAGCCGTGCGAAGCCAACAGCTGGTAGGCCACGACCTTCCCGTTCTGCGAGAGAGTCGGGGCGGAGGTCTTGTTCTCGCGCACGAGCTGCATCAGGTCGGGGTCCATGTAGCCCTGACTGCACAGGCGCGCCTTGACCACCTCCGTTTCAGAATCGTCGATCTTGCTCGTCAGGATCATCCGGCTGCCGAC